TATAACCTTCTGCCACGTGGTCTCTGGTTTATGTCCTTCATAAGTTTGAATTTGTTCACTTTCATGACAGAGGAGACTGGAGACCAGAGATTTCATCAATCCGTGAAACTTTTAAGGCTACTCAAGAGTGTGTGCTGATGACAGACACTGTTTCTAACAGAAGAATGGAGCAAGATAAATGTGTAAACAATCCACTATAGGCAGTGTAATGGGGGTGGGCAGATCCATACTTAAGGTCAGTGGTGAAATGTGTTACTAGTTACTAGTTACTAGTTATCACTTTCAAGTTAGTAACTTGTTAATTGTCTTGTTTTACACAGAAGCATATTCAACAAGTTTATAAAATACAACACGTTGATGCATCAGAAACAATTGTTCTCCATATTTTTGACCCTTTACAAAAACATTCATACAGTATCTAGGTGGGGCTCCTTGTTGTCATGTTTCAAATGTTTATGAGCTGTTAGCAGTTTTACTAAGAAGACATTTGCTCCCTTAAATTCTCAGATGGTTTCTAAAGTATTTGAGGCCCAAACAGGTAACATTCTTCAAAATTTAACAAAAAACAAAGACAAGAGAAAAATCTCTTTTTCTTCTTTCCTCTCTCATTTATCATATTAGTCCGACCCCTAGGTTGGGGACCGCCGGACTATACTACAGGACTATACACACAGTGGTTCAAATTAGCTCCATCTCAAACCAGCTACAACAGCAAAATGCTGCTTACACATTGATGCATCAGTATTAACAGTCTAATAATGTCCATCACAGGGGATATTTATACTGCAGAACAAGTACTTTTATTTCTGATACAACTTCTCTTGAGTAGTGATAGTAGTGTAACTCGGATACATTTAACCCTCAGGAGTCAATATTCACACATGCTGATGTTGCATGTCAAAATGTACAAATAATTGTCAGGTCAAAAAAATTTAAGCTGTGCTGAAGAAAATTCTAGCAAACATTGGCATGTTAAGCATATCGTCATGTGGCATATAAAGGTAAGCTCAAAACTATAAAAAAAAGAATCAGCATATTTTGACATGCATGTGTTTTAGTAATAACTGCTTTCTGGGCCACTCAGATTATGATCAAGCTGTTGTTATGGCACATTGTGACCACCGAGTGGCACAGTCTCAATTCAGAGGTTTGAGTCTGGTCAAAAGTGTCTCACAAAATATTCAGCTATCCAGCAGAGGTCGTCACTGCGATGGCTTATTAGTCTTTATAATGGCAGCTAGTTAAAAATATTTATGTTTAATTTTATGATAACTGCTCATAAATATGATTTGAACTGATGATGTGTTTTAGAAGAAAATGACTTCTGTTTGTGACCTCAACTGTAAAATATGTCTGACAACAATGGACTTTCGTTTTTTAAATTTTATTTCTTACATACACCCACAAACCTAGCAACAAAACAAAACAAGACAGAAAAATAAAAAAAAAAGGCAGAACACAAAACAACAGCTTCATTTTCATGTGGGGTGATGTCAGTAGTCTATTTGCATTTCTGCTATTGTTTGCTCACAGCAGCTCTTGCAGGGAGTTACAGTACAGGGTTCTAACTGGCCCAAACACAAGTAACATCAGTGTGGAGAATAACATACTATACATTGGTTTGGCTGTGAGTGTTTCAGGGTATTTACTGGGTACACCTGTACAATCAATTCAGTACAACTGTTTGGCCATAAAGTCTGATCCCTATTATACTGAGTGCTTTCTACTACAGGTGTTAGGTTAATTTAGTGATATTTATGAGATCATAGTGCAGGAGCTGTGTGGAGCTGGATTATACCGACAGGTGTTTCTGACCCATAACACGTATAAAACATGAAACATCACCCTATTTGGTGTAATAAAGTTTTACAGTCATTTCAAAGTCAGTTTTTTGCAAAGGGAAGGGTCACCACCTCTTCATGCAGGGTTTTAATAAGGTAAGAAGCAAAGCAGAAAAAACATTTGAAAGGAAAATGGTTGATTTTGGAGTTCACACATAATATTAGTAGTTCAGTGACGTTCCCCAGGGTTAAATTAGACATATTTACATATGATTTGTCATCAAACCTGTATTGGGCAGCATCGTAATAAGCCTGCTGCTGTGACTGTATTGGAGTTCCCCTTGTGCAAATGTGTCAAGGAAATACAGATAGGGAATGTAAAAAAGCAAGACAGAGGCGAGGGGTGTGTATAGGAGAGAATGTAGTAGTGGACAGTTTTCAGCATAAGTGACTGTTTGGCTGCCTCTTGAACCATTACACTTTCTTAAACACCCATGAAGATTTGCCTACAGTCTGAACACAGAGCTGCAGAAACACTCTTACTCACACACAGTGGTCCAAACAACAAACTGTGAGTAATCTGACACATTACTCAGAGGCTACAGACTAAAACTGTGTTTGTTGCTACATGTTACTATTGGTTACTCTGAACGTGGCATCACATACACACTCTACTATAAGTGAGGGTGTAATGTTGAACAATAATATGTAGATATTTCTTAAAACTCTTCACATTGCTTGGATATTCTGAAATGACAAAGCCTGGGCAAATTATGTTGTGCCACCCAGTCATCAGTCAACTTCCTTAACAGCTGAGTAGGTATGTTCTCTTGTGCCATATGAGGCTTGTATCTGAAAGGCCAACACATTATTGGAGTAATAAAGGGTGAGCGGGTGGGTAAAGGACACTAATGTTAATAGCTTGCACTGATCTTTATGCTTTATAAAACAGCTGAGCTCCAAAAAGTAGCAGAAAATACTCAAGTACAGATAGCTCTGATTTGTTAGAGAGGTCAGTCCCACTCAAAACCTTTTAGAAGCTAATATCTCTGCAATGTTGCCAGGGCTGTTCGATGGGTCTGGGTCACAGGAGGCTTCGACAGCATCTCTCCACATTAAGACAAGTTCTGGAGCAGATTTCTACTAAAAATATTTTGAAAAAGGTTACAGTGATAACTTTAGTTAGGCTACTAGTTACTTTTCAGAATCAGATTAATAAAACAAAATATAGTAGACTATTGATCCTCTGTGAGAAATTCACAAGCTGCCTATGTAGAAGTAATTCAGATGATAATTGGCCTGTATATGGTAACATTAGCTCCACTTTTACCAGCTGGAACATTAAATGTCATGTATGCAATAATGCACCAATAATATGACACACATTAATGTGAAATGTGCTGTTCTTAATGAGGAGCTTACTTTTGTAATAGTTTTGTACTTTTAATTAAGTTACATTTTGAATGCAGGACTATTACTTTTAAACACAGCTGGGGAACACACAGCAGCACAGACAGAACATATACAATCCCCACCAACACACCAAACTATATTAAGGCCGCCCAGAGGAGGGTTATGGGGGCTTTCGCCAGGTGCTCTCCACCCCAACACAGCCCCCACCTGGCTGGTTAACCGTTTTCAGTAACCACAGTCAAACTAAAGTCCCTTGAGCATTGGGGGAGCCTGCACTGGCGCTGAGGTCACTCTGGTGGCTCCTGGGTGGTTGGTGGAGAAGGGTCTGGAGCTCGTGGTTAGCTCCTGTTCTCCGACACTACCCTCTCAGGTGAAGCCAAGGGCCGGAATGGTATGCGTCTGTCTCTGTGAAGCACCACCTGGTTCTGCTTACTCCATTTCACCCTGTACATCACATCTGACAGTCTTTTCAGTACCGTGCAGGGTCCGCTCCACTGGATCACCGACTGTGTAGACAAGCCCTCGTTCCTGCAAGCATCCTGGGCCCCTGTCTGGCAGTGTGGCAGCAGCGATCTAGCCTCTTCCTTGCTGGTCCCCTCGAAGTCCATCTGCCACACCCAGTTTTTCAGCCTGTGGGAGCGCAGCATGCACTCAACTCACTCTGCCTCAGCCAGGGCTGTGGTCAGTGTGCATGGTTCTCAGATGCAGATGTGCTCCTGGAGGTGCTCTAGCTGGAGCCCTCAGATGAAAGACTGAAGGGCAACCTCTTCCAGCATGGCGTCACTGAATATCGGGCACCTACGCTGTGCATAGAGGTGAAGGTCGGCGGCGTAGGCACCCAGAGTCTCTGTGTTCTTGTGCTGGCTGCTGCCCAGTTTGTTCTGGGCATTGTCAGCAGGGACCCATCAGCTAAACCAGTGCTGCAGCATCCTCTCCATGGCTGGCCAGTCGAGCCTTTCCCGGGCCCGAAAATTGAGGAGGGTCTGCAGAGCTTTACCTTCCAGGGTGAGGACAACATGGATAGCAGCCTTTTCAGGGGACCTATCTATCTGCACTTGGGCAGCTATCATGCACAGGGCAGCTATCTGCACTTGGATGAGGTAGGTCTGCAAGGGCTCGCCCCCATTTTAGCGGGGCAGTCTCTCACTGGCTCCATGCCACAGTCTTTTGGGTGGGTCAGCCTCTGGTCAGGAGCTGGTCTGGCTGTCCCTGGCACAGGCTGGACAGTCTGCAGCCCTCGGGTCAGCTGGTGTTGGCTCTGGGTGAAGCTGTGGTGCTGGCGATTCGGCATGGCTCCTCCTCACTAGCTCGATCAGTGGTCTCGTTTTGGCAGGCTCCCGGTGATAGGGGGGTGGCAATCAATTCTCCGGCAGCTGCAGGGACTTCTGCTTCGAGTCACACTTTCTCTCGCTTCTGTCGATTCTGGTGGCTCTGCCCCATCCCACTTCTGACCCCAATGTAACATAGGCTGAATGGAAGAAGAAACCAGAGAGAGAAGCTGCCTCTTTGTGTGCTCCCTGGAGCTGCTTTTATTGTTAAACACAGCCCAGGAACACACTGAACACACATAATCCCCACCAAAACCCACAAGTATATACAACATCCCCAAAGAAGCATTATGGGGAATCCTGCCAGGTGATCTCTGTCCCCAACGTTACAATACTTCTACTTAAGTAATAATCTGAGTGCCTCTTTCACCAGTGGTCTATAGCTCCTTAGTGGTTAATTTTCATAAACCTAACTACTAGTTAACCTCGTGCTTTTGGGGCCCCTGGGGGGAGGAGGAGGAGGGGAGGTGGGGGAGGAGCCTCAATGGAGGAAGCAGCTTCACAGATTAGATGTGTGTGAGAACACTTACTTCCATAGTGAGAGTGTCGCTAACCACTGGAAGTAAAACACAACCCCAGGAGAAAGCCACATGGGAACTCGCTCTCGAGGAGTTGAAGACCATTAGGATATATCGTTTATTTTCGTCGGTACAGGTTGAAGCGGTGCAACCGGTCCAGAAACGAGCAGTATGCATTCAGACTGCAGGCTGCTATGGGCAGAGCGGTAATGGTGGGCAGGGGACCGACAGGGGCCGGGGTTCTCATCCTGTCGATTCTCATCATTCTCACCTCGGAAGGCTGTCGAGCCCAGAAAGGTTGGTGCCACACAGGCGCGGTGATAAACTGGGAGGGGGGGCGACTACAACCACAGAGACATGTGGCCATGCTGGTTTAAAGTGTGAGCACAGACGTTTGGATGTTTAGCGGTAGGCTGACGGCACGGTGTTTTGTTATTGTCCGCCAGACTTAAACCTACCTTACATGGCCATGTGTACGTGGAGTTCCGCTCGGTTTACACCGTTTGCCGCCGCCCGTCATGATGTGGTAAAGCCAGGCAAACCGGTTTGGGAAAGTCTAGGTGCTAATCTGTGAAAAGGTTTCGTGCTGAATTGACATGTGGCTTTTAAACGACTTATTATAAGTTTAAAGCCAGTATATTTGACTTATTTGCCTTCTCCGATAAGATGGCTTTTTAAAATCGCCAGATTTCCTAATGGAGCCTGGCTTTGTTTCCTGTGTACAAAGCAGCACATTTGGCAGCTTGTGGCCTCGTTGTCCTTTCAGGTAGCAGACTGGATTTTATCGTGAACTTAACGTTAGAATTTCAGTAAACTTAGTTATGTTTTGACTGGTTATGGTTTATTTTACATATTGTACAGAAACACAAATATTTAATGTTTTTTTTTTTTTTTTTTTAACCACTGCCAGACTCAGGTGGTCGGAGACTGGGGGTAGGGAAGCCTATTGTAAACACGTGGACACGTGTTGTCATAATTCTAGGTTTTTCCATCCCCCCCCGTTAATTAAGGCATGATATGTGAATTTTATAAAGACTTTCGGATTAATAGTTAGTTTTTTTTGCATGAGGGCTAACTTCTGCTGAGTGTCATGCAGCTGCTCAATAACATTTGTGAGTCAGAGACAGGGAAGCAGTTCTGTTTTTGTCTTGTTCATCTGGATAGTGTCAACTGAGAGGCCCCTTACGTAACACAGGCCAACAGAACATCCACTTAGCACCATGAAACGTGACTGTGGAGTGTTATCTCAGAGCCATGAGTCCGCAGCATCGGCAGACACCATGTCTCTGCTCTCTGAGAGGTCACAGCTCCAAAAGACAAAAACAGGCGTCTCCTGAGGAGTCATACATCATGACTGTTATAAAATCAAATTTAGAAATCATAAAGTTGGCTTGGATTTTAATTGTGTGGTTTTATATGTAATTATATGGCTAATAAGAGTCTTTAAGACATTTTATGGCCCTGAATTATCTGATGTTCTCTGCAGCACAGCCAAAGGTTTGACTGTTTATGAAACCCAGAACCAGGCTCGTGCTTAGCATTTGGCAGATGCTTTTGCAAGAAGTGACTTAGTTTTTTTAACCCCACATTCATACAAGATCTGGTGTTCATTGTCTTGCTCAAGGATGCAAATAGTTACTAGAGACATCACCAAGTGTTATTGAGCTGCTGATTATTTATGTGATTAAATTTCATTGCTCATCACAAAGAGCTGAGGTGATGTCTTAAAATTGTTTAGTCCCAAACTATAATGCTTTTAGACAGATATTAAGAAGACCAGGTACACATTTAAGAAGCTGGAACTAGTAAATGCTTGTTATTTTTTTATTGATAAAACAAAATAGTTGGCAGTTAATGTACCTTTGTTCATCCCTGCCCTTTCTGTGAGACCCCAACTCCATTATTAGCAAATGATACTCAAGTGTAGACTAACATTCATTTTAGGTGCTAGCGAGTATTTACTGCAGGTGTATGGTGTATGTGGGACTCCAACAACAATGTGTGGCACAGGGGAATGATCAGACTTTGGCTACACAGAAAAATGTATTAGTTGGATCAGTTAATTTGGTCTTTTAATGGGATTTTTGGCATAATGAATAGCACCATGTTTATACTTAAACCCTCTCATATCTGCAGACAGTGCATTTGAATAAAAAGCCAGTGAACAGTGTGTTTTCCTTGGTGGAAATTTGTATCATAAGTCGTCCACCACAGTCTGTGTTTTATTACTTGTGTCCTCGTTTTATTTTGTTTTGTGCTGAAACTCAGTTTGTGTTGTCCTGCAGGTGATGGCTGTGGCCCCACTGTACTTGGCCCCAGCAGTGGGACTCTGTCCTCTCTGGGTTACCCGGGGACATACCCAAACAACACGGTGTGTGAGTGGGAGATCGCTGTGCCTCGCGGCAACAGGATCCACTTTCGCTTTGCCGAGCTGGACATAGAAGACAGCGACTGCCAGGTCAACTACCTCCGCCTTTACAACAGCACTGGTCCCGAAAGGAGTGATTGGAGTGAGCAACAAGTTGACACTGGAGTAAACTTGAATTTTAAGCAGTGATTGTTGAATGGATGTTGTCAGTTTAAATGTATCAGAAATTCAGCAGGTGTAAATAATAAAATTTAAGCTAACTGAATTCTATTTTACAGTCCTGGTTACATTATTAGTAACACCTGTTATGAGAAGTCAAAATGTTTAGTGTGGAAGAGGCCTGTTGATTTTGAGAATTTCATAAACCAGGAAGCTACACAGGAGTATTTAGGTGGAAATATGACAATAATCTTGAAACAAGGATTTGTAACAATGTTTTCTCTCATTCGCCACCGGTGTCATTGTAAATAGGAAGTGTTTACACGGTGTGGAAGAACTCTAGTCGCTGCATAAACTGACTATCAGGTTACTTCAGTGCATGATGGTGCATTGACTGACAATGCACTGGTCATGTGATAAGCCTTCAGGCACCACCGTTCTCATGCCAGAGCCCTGCAGAGCAATGAGAAGTATCAGTGATAACAACTATAAATCATATTAAGCTAAATGTCAGGTCCCTGGATGCACAGTTTAAAGCTACAGTTAAACACCAGTTAGTGAGAGGGCGGCCACCTGATGACCTACACCCTCACAGAACTTGTGTTGGTGATAGCATAGTTATAGACTCATGACACTGTTTGCTTTTATGATGTACAGCCCAGCTACTATCCATAACCACTAAGTAAAGATCCATTCTGCAGTATTATCCAGTATGATTCATGCTTTTTATGTAACATGTATTGTACTTGTTAAACTGCCCCTTTGTCATGTATCTTCTGTTCCTTTTCCTGCGGCCCTGCCTGTGCCATGTACCAGTGAAGTACTGCGGTTTGGGTCTAAAGGTTAAAGAGCTGATCGAGTCCACTGGCAACAAGGTCACTGTCCAGTTTATGAGTGGGACCCACCACACTGGCCGAGGATTCTACCTGTCCTACTCCACCACTGAACACACAGGTAACAGTTTCTAAGGTCACTCATCTGTCTGAGTCTCATTCGTTTGTCAGGTTACACCTGTAGTCTTTGTTTTTACTGTTATAAAGTTATTTCATTGTCCTGGAAAGAGTCGTCCACATATCACATCCACGTGCAGTTTCTGTTTTTGAATGGAGGGTTTTGTCATGTGGACCATCTTCAGTGACTTCAGATCACTGAAGCCGGGGGGAGAGGAAGGTAGTGACATGCGCAGGAGGATAATAATAGTTTTAGCAGTCATCTCGGTATGACTGAATCACACTGGGAGGTGAACAAGTTCACCGATGTGTCCGTTTTATTTTTCCACCAGAGTGCGTTTTCTTTGTCGTGTAACTGATCGTGCAGATGAGCGTGGGCGAACAGTTTTCATGACTAAGCTAATCAGTCTACAGGGTGATGTGCAGAGGTTGGGGTTATTTCTCAGTTTGACTCACAGGTTGGTTCACCAGATATGTGGGTTTTATGATAATATGGTCAAGACTCTCAGAAAATGACCAGCATCACCAGATTAACATTCCCAGCAGCCCACACCATCCTGTTAGACATATTTGGTGTATCTCATCACTGAAACACTCATGTCAGCACACACTCCCACACATTTGTGTGCTTTAAGACTTTGATGTGTTTGGTTTAGAGCTAAAATTGTTACACAGAAAATGAATCGGCAACATTTTTGATAGATAATATGTAGTTGATATTAAAAAAATGGTTTAAATCCACTGGTTCTAATCTTTGAGGTCATTAAAATGAGTATCGTTGAGCTCTGGGGACAAAACAAGCAGTGACAGGTTGAACCTGGGCTTTTTCAATGTATGGTGGATATTTTTTTTATTTTTTTACAGGTTGTTGATGTGCTATTAAATGGATTAATAAGTAATGATAACACTGGGACAGCAATTGGTCCTTATTTTTATAAGTGTAATCTGTCAGTTGTCATATGTCAATTATAATGAAAATTGCCCGTCACAAGTTCTGACAGTCCAAAGTCAAATGTCTTGTTTTGTCTGAGTAGCCCACAAGCCAAACACACTGAAAACAACATAAAACAGGGAGAGGTAGATAATCCTCACATTTTAGAACCTGGAACCAGCAATTTGGCATTTTTGCATGATTAAATGATTGAATTGGTTAATGGATTATTAAAATTGTCTTTAAATTTGTCCATTTATTAAGGAATGATTATTTCAGCCAACACTGATATCCATCAATTGTTTTGATAAACACTGTTTTGTCTTTTTGTATTTATCTTTCTATAGTCATTAAATTACCAAATAAATAATGGCAAGAATCATTGAAAATGAAAATAATGGCTACTTTTGCTATTCATTGCTTTTAATACTTACAAAACAGTAATTAAGTACTTGCTGTACCTGGAGAGGGTTAGGCAGTTGTTGTTACCAGAGAGCGTAACAGACAAAAAACAGTGATAGTGTGGGTTAGCAAGAATGTGCAGAGAAACCAGTTCTGACACTGTTTGTTTGCCTTTGCAGATCTCATCACCTGCCTGGACAAAGGAACTGATTTCCCTGAGGCAGAGTTCAGGTAAATAACATTTGCTTTGTGTAGATATTTGTGCAGTGATCAGTTTGTCTGATATGCATTGCGTGTGTTGTTTCTTAGTAAATACTGTCCAGCTGGCTGCTTGACTTCGACCGAGGAGATTTCTGGAACTATACCTAATGGATATAGAGAGGTGAGTACACGAGAATTTCAGGGATCCAAAATATTAGACCTACTGAAACCTGGTGTGCAGAAATTAATTTCAAAAAGAGAGAGCAGTCTGAATGGGACATGGAAACTGCCAGCCACCTCCCGAATGGACGCAAGGGTAATTAGACCCGATCCAAAATATGGTTGAACACAAACGCCGGCAGCGGCACGGCGATCTGCCAGTTCATTTGATAAATTAACAAGCAGCTATGGTGGAACAGAGCAGCAATGTAATAACAAAGGATGTCCTCAGAACCAATGAGGTAATAGAAACTAATTTGTTTCAGACAATTTAATACAAATAATTGAAAGTCTTATTCCAGTCTCCTGCACCAACAGTAAAACCATGAGTAGCCAGCTGGGCGACAGGCAGGCACATGGCAATATTCTAACCTTTTTAATATTTATGAATAAAATTCCAAATTTAACAGCACAAATCTTAAAGAAAGCTCAGCTTCACTTCCCTCATAGCAACAAAGCTCCGGTGAGTTGCTAAGTTTTCATCCACTCTGGCCTCAAAACACACCTGATACCTCACACACTTAGGTCCATTCGGATCCACTCAGGTACCGGACATATGGGTACACAGACCCGAGACCTGTGAAGGGCCTCTAATGAGTACATACGGTGTACATGTGATCGCTGTCTTCAGTATCACATTTCCAGGTGAGTCATGGTGCCCTTTGGCCTCATGCTGTTTGGTCATCTTGACCACTAGTAAGGTCCAGTAAGGGCACCGTTTTATGTTTGGTGTAAATGGGCCCCCACACCATGGTATGCATGTCCATGGCTGATGCCCTCACAGCACCCAGTGAGGTCCATGGCTGATGACCTCACAGCACCCAGTGAGGTCCATGGCTGATGACCTCATTTGAGGTTTTTGTTGAATGTGGGAGGGAAGGTGTGGTGTTGCTGGCTGATGGGAGGACAGGGAGGAGTGTTGGGGTGTTCTTCGGGGAGTGAGGCGCCCCACAGGAACAGCGGAGGGGTGGGGTCAGAGGGTGAGGGAGAGGTGACATAATAATTTGGCCAAAAATAATAACCTTCTAATCCAGTCCAGCTGCGAGAGCTGTGTGTTCCGGAGAGGCAGAAAGCTGGAGAGCGAGTATGTGATTCAAACATGCTTGTGTTTTGGGTGTGTGGGTGTGTAGTGTTATAGAGAGGGTGAAGGCCTGAGTATTATGCATATGTATCCCACATAGTTCAACTGTCCCACCCAGAGCAGACTCACTTTCCCAGGTCTGCCTCAGTGTGGTCCATGTACTTCTTTTTATATTTTCATATTCCACTTATTATATGTCTGTGTGTGTTAGTGTGGTTTCCTCTGTTGGAGGCAGGGTGCGGCGGTTTGCAGCAGTGCTTTGTGTTTGTGTTAGTGGTTTGGGATGGAGCGCTTTAGGATGTGATGTGTGTTTTGGGGAAGATTAAGAATCACAGGGCAAATGTCGATCGTGTGTATGAATACATGTGTGCTCGTCACACTGTGGGTCACCAGAGGTTTCCCACAGTCTTGTCAGCTGTGAATTCCAGTGTGGGGCTTTTCCAGTAATAAAATTCCACCTCACTCAGCCCAGCTGTTCATGAGAAGGAGCTTGTGGCCAGAGTGGAGTTGGGTTTTGTCAGTTTCTCCGTGATATGGCTGCAGGTTTGGACAGGAATGCAGCTGGCAGTGAATCATTACCAATGCCGCTCATTGCTCTCTATGCACAGAAATGACTTCATGCTGACTCATCCCTTTATCTGCCTCAGTCTGAGGGTTAACAGCTGACAGTGCTGCTTGTTCCCACTCACTTACCTGCAAACGGTCCCAGTTCGCAGAGTTACCAGATGGTACGGTACCATTTAAATAAAACACAGGTTCACAGTTTTCAATGTCTGTCTTAAAATAATAGTCTTTACCCATATTTAAAACTATTAAACCAGTTTCAGTGTTTACATTTTAATGCATTTTTATCTGTCCATTATTTATCCATGAAGGTCCCATTGAGATACAAGATGTCTTCTTCCAGGGAGTCCTGGTCAAGATGGCAGTACAGGAAGTTTCATATGAAAAACTGTTTCACAAATTAGAACACATACAATACATAAAAGCAACAGAAGGGACATAGTAGAAGAAGAAAGCTATACAATGATATCCATAACCTGTTCCACCTCGAGTTGAGGTTTATTCAAAATAGCAACGTTTCCTTTAGGACAGTTTGGAAAAGACCTTTAAAGGTCTTCAGAGAAGGAGGGCGCCCTGATCACTGAATGTTATGGTGCAGCGCACCATATACGCAAACACAGTGTGTGTGCAGCATTGGCAGTTTGAGTCCAGCTGCTGCCCCTGGTCCTCTCCTCTGCTTCCTGTCCACCTCTCTGCGACCCACTCAACCCATTAAAAATAAAAAATAATAAAGGTAAAATGCCCAGTAAATGAATAAAGAAGGGAGTGTTTATAAGGTCATAGCATTTTGCGGCTCATTCCATGCCCAAGGTGTGTAAAAGGAGCAGTTTCACCGGGCTCTGAGTGCACTCTGGGGACATTTAAAAGAACTCAAATAGTAGCTCTCATTCTGTAGTTGCTGGTATGATAGAATAAAAGGCTGGAGATTTGATGAGATGTTTTAACTAACCTATCTTGTCAATAGCCATTTATATTTTTCTCCTCTGGTATAGAGAGGACCATCCAGACTCATATAAAATGCAACAGCGAGTGTGTGTTGCACCATGATATGCAGAACCCAGTTTTTTTTTGTGGGGATGAAGTTTGCACAATTTTCTTTCCAGCCTCAAATAGAAAACATTTTTTTAAAGGGGGAAAAAAAGCCCAGTTTTGGCTGAAACGTTTTCAGTAGATTATCAATATGCTGATTAAAAGACAACGTTTCATGACATTAATACAAAAATAATATAAATCCTATTATGACCATTAAGAAGTCCTGACATTGCCCACAGTGGTCTAATACACCACTCACAAGCCTTGAGATCTGCTACAGCATGTGCTCAGCATTCATTCAGGCTGTAAAAGTAAACACTGGCAACAAGTTTTTGAGCTGTATTAGGATCTGTGATGGGAATTTCTTGTATTGTTTGATGCCAATGTGCCGATGAGTCTGAGAACGTGTGTGGGCTAGCACAAACAAAACTTAAGTTACCTTTATCTGCTAATTGTTTAGCAGATAAAGAAACAGAAATTACTCAGCAGTGGCCTTCTGTGCCCTCGTTTTCCCACTGTAGATCTTTCCAGCATCGAGTCAAACATCACACAGACATAAATTACAAAGATGCGCTTCAGTCAAAGCCTTGTATTTTAATCTTATCAGTCTAACTCGCCTAATCTTCACAGTCCATCAGATGCAGTGGAAAACTTAAGTTACCAGAAAAGTGCATGGCCAGAATCTCTAATCTTTGTTTTCTCTTCTTCTGTTCTGCAGTCCTCTCCTCTGTGTTTGGCGGCCATCCATGCAGGTGTGGTGTCTAACGCTGCAGGAGGGAGGATCAGTGTGGTCAGCAGCAAAGGCATCCATCATTACGAGGGCACACTGGCTAACAATGTCACTTCCACTCCGTAAGAGGTTCAGCCACAACAGCACACAAATATCACTCAGAACATTATTTACTTTGAAGAACAGAGGCAGAGGGGTTGTTCACTCCCGCTATAAAATGTGTGTACTTTGTCTTAAAATCGGTGAATTTATCAGTGCTTAGTTTTAAATTTAGTATGAATACGACAATAGGTGAAAACCATGTTGCACAAACACTTTCCTTTTGAGTGAGTTGTGAATTTTTTTTATAACCCCCCCAAAATGAACTTTATGTATTATATGTTTTATCTTGTCTTTTTAGAGGAACTTTGTCAAACAGCCTCTTCACCTTCAGAACCAGTGGTGAGTTTGTTTCCCATAAAGCACCATTATGCACTATAATTGTTTTGCTGGGGGATGTCCTGTAAATGTAATTTTTACTGTCATTAATTTTAATTGGGTATAAATCTTTCCATGTCTAATTTTTATTACCCTGCATCATAGAATCTGGAGTGAATTACCTGCTGTTTTTACACAAGCTCTTAGTTCAAACTTGTCTGGCCTATGAGCAGGGACTCCTCATCCTTTATGCCAATGAGGCACTGGAATTGCATGCAAGCACTTCAAAAGAAGTTGTATTAAGACCTAAATTGAATTCAGCTTCCCAAACGTTTAATATTAATGATGGTAATTGTTGCAGGCTGCTATGGGACGCTGGGTTTAGAGTCTGGCAGTGTTGCAGACACTCAGCTCTCTGCTTCGTCTGTGGGGGAGTGGAATGGTGAGTGGGCGGCATCAGGGGCACGACTTAAAAAGGCAGGCTTGCCTTGGGCGCCCTCTCAGACTGACCAGCAGCAGTGGCTACAGATTGATCTCAAGAGGGAGAAGAGGATCACAGGTACACAACAATATGTACACAATCACAAAGACACTTTGATATTAAAATACACACCCACTCCCATTACTGTACAGTTCAACAATTGATAATTCAACTGTAAAGCTCTCTAACAAAAAGTTTCCTTATGTTTTATCACACATTGCGACCAGTTTCAGGCAAAACAACTTTCCTTGGATGGTCCAGACTGATATACTAAGTGTGAATTCTGGAGTCAGAAAGCTTAACATCTTTAGTTTTGTTTAAAATGTTGCAGCAACTGCAGGATGGACTGCCATGAAATGTGGGACACATTCATGTCCCCCTCTTATTTTTCTTTAGCATCATCTTCAGGCCAAAATTTAAATGTTCAATTCATTCCCCATACTGTAAGCCTCAGCTATACTTTGTGTTTAGCGCTATTAGCATGCTAAACATCAGCAAGTTCTTTGTAAGCATGCTAATATTAGCATTTAGCTTAAAGCACAGCTGGGCATCTGTACAGCCTCACAGACCTGTAGGTATGGCTGTACACTCCCTATACAAGGGACACTCAGTAGCTTACTAGCAGCAAATTGAGATTTTAATCATTAGGTTGCAACAACACTGACATCTACAGTTGCACAACAGTAGTTTTTACTTCTATAAGTATTATTATTCTATATTAGTATAGAATGCATTAATTCAGAATCAAGCAGAGTGGTGGACAGTATAATGGGGTATCAGATAAATGCAGAGTAACTCTGGACACAGCCTCAGTCTTGTTTTTACAGTAGAATCAGCTGTACATTATCATCTTGTTTCTGCTGTCCATGTACCCAGGCATCACCACCACAGGCTCCACACTGAGAGAGTACCAGTCCTATGTCTCAGCATACAGGGTCCTATACAGTAACGATGGCCATCAGTGGTCCATCTACAGGGAAACAAATTCTACACAAGACAAGGTAATACAATCACCAAATCAATTGACCATGCTTGCTCAACAATTCCGTCATTGGCTTTTATGGTTCTTTTTTCCTTTCAAACTAGTGCAGATGGATAAAAAGGTCACGTTAGAAGGCTGCTAGGGTACATACTTTGATTGTTTCCATAGCAACTGGTATTGACAAAGAGATGTTTATGGCAGGAAATGAGAGCAGTCAGTGGTTTGAGTTAAGTGCTGTGGTAGACAAGTCAGGACACTTGGGCATTAATAATGAATGGATATGGATTTAGTGGCTGGGGTGTTAGGCAGGAACTGCTGTGTACAAGCTGCTTTCTGCTGGGATTCTCACAAGCTCTTACTGTGTGCACGAAAGTAGTTATTAGCTTGTCAAGTTGGAAAATAATCAGCATGCGGCTTATATTGCATTTGTTCAGTCTGAAACGAGAACTGCACTGGTGAACTTTTTTTATTCTAAAATGCTACAACTGGACAACAATCGGCTTTAAATCTCTGGCTCGAGTAAAATAATTTGTTCTTATTTTGTGGTAGATTTTCCAAGGCAATGTAAACTACCTGCATGAGGTGAGGAATAACTTCATTCCTCCAATTAAAGCCCGGTTTCTGAGGATAAATCCCACATTATGGCACAAGAGAATTGCGCTCAAGTTGGAGCTGCTTGGTTGCCAACTTCCTGCTGGTAAGCAGAGGTTGTGAATGTAGATAAAACAAATATCTACATCTTAATAATAATAATAGTTTAAATCCCAAGGATCCAAAATTTTTATTTCTTCGCTACAGCCAAACCAGGGCCGAGGATGTCACCGCCTATTCGCCATATTCCACGTCCTGCGGGTACAAAACACCCACCTCGCCTTGGCCAAACCACACCCACCCCAGACATCCGAAACACCACTATGCCGCCTGACACCAGCAGAGGTGTGTCAGGTTTTTAATGGAGAGGATAAAGCTTGTTTGATCCTTAATAGAGATGCATGTCATTCAGTACTGATCGTAGATTTTTTTTTCCCCCCTCTTAGATGTGGCGCTGGCAGCGGTTCTGGTTCCCGTGTGGGTGATGGTTCTGACTGCTCTCATACTGACTGTGGTTTGTACTTGGCACTGGAGGAACAGGTATATATTCTTCTCGTCATCATGGTTTAAATAAAACTGCTTTTGCAAACTTCAGTCCTCTCTTCCATGACTTTATTTTTCTCATCATAGAAAGAAGAGCTCTGAGGGAACATATGAGCTTCCTCACTGGGATCGCACAGGTGTGTCACTGCTCTGCATCATAGGTTTGTCTCTGTGTGTTTTGTGAGTATTCTAGTGCAACTTGCTGTCTATCTGCTGTAGACTGGTGGAAAAGCATGAAGCAGCTGCTGCCATCCAAAATGGTGGAAACTGAAGAATCAGTTCGGTACAGCAGCAGTGAGGTGGGGAGGGGTGCAGTACCAAGACTACACGCTGAACCTGCAGGTAAATGAAAACTTGTTTTGGTGTTTCTTGCACTGGTAAGTACTACACTGTCTGTGTAGTACTGCAGTGTCTATTAAAAGGTACACTGTGGAGGTTCATTTTTTTAAAACTAGGCAGCAGTCAAGAGTGCACAAACCTCCACCAAGGCAGGCTATGTAAACTGCAAGATATCCCTGCTTATTAATACACTATTGTATACTGTCTTTTCAGAATATGCCCAGCCGCTGGTGAGCGGTGTTACAACATTAGGTGCACGTTCAACTTTTAAACCAGATGAGGGTCCTGACCCGGGCTACACTGATCCAGATCTGTACGACGCCCCCATCTCACCAGACATATACCATGCCTACGCAGAGCCTTTGCCAGCTTCAGGATTTGAATATGCTACACCCATCGTGGTTGATATGGGTTGCCATCCATCAGGAGGATCCTCTTTGAACCAGCCCACCACTGTGTGTAGTTTTGTGGGTGCTGGGCCTGCCTCCCTGCTCACACAGACAGAAAGTGACCAGTTAGGGAGGCTGGCATATGATACACCCAAAAATGCCACTGGACAGGTCACAGCCACTGAGGATCTGACCTATCAGGTACCTCAGAGTAGCACCCAGAAGCTAATGGGACAGAGCTGAGCAGCTAGGATGCACATGGCCTTAACCTACCCTTCACTGTTCAGCACAGCCCAGTAGAAAAACATAAGGTTGTTAAAGGAGGAGGAGGTGCACCTGAGAGTCCTGAAGCCTGGGCTTGAGTCTTGAATGAACACTGCCTTTAGCTTTAGATTAATCTGGAGATGTCTGTACTTCCTAATTGTTTCTGCATGGCCACAGACTGCTTGTGTGCTGCCATCACAGTCCTATCACTGAAACCCCAACGATGAATGTGCTTGTTTGTGCCAGGTGTGAGAGTTGGAGGCAGATGAATGAAAGTATGAAAAGGAGAAAGCTGACTACTGTTTGATAAAGACTTTGTCCCTGTTCTGTGATTCTTACCTTTTGTGAAACTCTGACTTTTATCAGTCCCATTATTATTCTGTTACATACTGAACCAAGTTCAATTGAAATACACCTGATGACTAACATTCAAACATAAGGGATCTCTTAACTAACAGCATGTTGCATCAAGTACCCCAGATTCAAGGTAAAAAAAAAAAAAAATCTTTTCTGGTGAAACTAGTTTTCCATGGTACGTTTTGTCTTATTTTGTTTAAAAGCATGACTTGAAATGTGTATAGTTCTAGTAATTCCATTACTGCAAACCTGTTGGAACTTTCATATATGATTTACTGATATTTATTTTTGACATCCTGCTGATAAGGGAGACAGTGAAAATGACCTACCATCACCCTCACTGGTAACAGATCAGAACATCGTAATTGCACTGTTGCAGACACCTTATTGGCAGCCAGCAGTTTTTGATAAATCCTTTCAGATGTTGTATGAGAACTTGGAGAGGCTGATTGGGAGAATCAATCCAGTGAACCTCCCAGTGTGAAAAAACTTTAGTATTGGAGACCAAATGTTGCCTTTTTTATGTTTACATCATGGGTATTCATCACAGATCTGACTTTCACAGTTGTGCCAATATTCTAAGTGTAGCCAAATAAACAGACCTAGTTAGATATCACAAAAAAGGTACAGAGAAAAGAGGTAGATAGGCAACTCTGTTACATCTGATAATTCATAGTTTTCCGTGTGTTTGATTATTTGTGCATCATGTTGATTGATGTTGAAATGGGTGTTTGGGCTGTTGTAATGCATTTGGGTGTGACTTGTTCCTTCCTTGTATCTATGTGCATCAATATCTGTATGTGTGGTAAGCTGTTTTCCTTTTTTTTTTTTTTTAGACCTGTGATTTTTGTTTTAAGGACTGGTAATGATGTGGATTAGTTGGTAGTAGGATGTGTTCAGTCGTCTGTTGCACCAGTAGCCTGCATTCCTCTCCTGTCCACCTGTGGTTCTGACCTGACCAAACACTCAAAAGGCAGGAGTGCAGATGGTGAACAAGCTGCTTTATATTTTTACAGAACAGCAACCTTACCTGAGTGATGGTGGTGTTCACATAGCTGTACCACTAGTCATGCTTTGATTATGCCCAATGTAGAGTTTTGGTGCTCTGTTTCATAAGTAGCTGAGCGACAGTCTTCACAAATGCACTGCATTTATAAAATAAAGCATTGGTTTTCTTGAACAATGGCCATACATGAGGAGAAAACACCTTTACATCATTATTGTTTGACTAAATTTCTACAGCAATGACACTCCCATCTGTCTCAGCTCTAAGTGCTAATTTAGTAAACTGTAGCATGTTAACCCACTAAATCTAAAAGGTGAACGTTATACTGTACATGCAAAACATTAGCATGTTAGCATTGCTGTTTTGAGCATTCAACATGCTAGTTAGCTCAAAGTAAGTGTCCAAGTACATTCTGATGGATCCGCTGACATAGCTGCAGATTCTTGGTCTTGCCAAATGATAGCATTTAAAACACCTATGGTTCCATATAACAACTGACTGACAATACTACACTAGCTGCAACAGCTAACCTTAATGGTGCTGTAATTAAAACCTTTCATGCAGTTTTAAGAATCAGCATTACAGTGCTTGTTTGACAGTCTGTGTTACACTTACAGTAGAAAGTGTAGTTTCTCCACTGCATTTACTGAGACATGAAATGTAGCCTCAACCCTACAGTGACTGGATTTTAGTAGCTACTAATGTATAAGTTATATTAACAGGACAAATGTTTTTAAAATGGAAATATTCAAGTAAAACATTCACATGATGTGGACATGGTTCACAGGGAAGGTCCAGATGTCAAATTGAAATCATCAAATCATCCTTTGTTTTTCAATCCATGATTTTGTACCAGATTAACATTGTTTAAACTACTCATCTTTCATTTGCTCACGTCAGTGTTCTCATTTAGAATTTGTCTCTTTAAAATGGCTCTTAAATAGCATGACTTTTTAAAAACCATTTCACTCCTCAGCATCCCAGAGCACCTTTTACTCTTCATTCCTCCATGTTCTTTCCTTTCTTTCCAAATTTCCACCAGGCCACCGTGAGGATGACAGCTATCAGTAGGATCAGGCTGCTGGTCACAAGGTAAGCAATGGGCAGGAAATAGTTCTGACCTCCAAACCAGGTCAGTGTGGTCAGCACCACTTCCTTTCTGCCTTGGAAGTACTGCACAGGAAAGTCTGGAAAGGCAGAGGTCAAGGCTGGAAATACGTGATTACAAAGAGAGGTTCGATGGGGAAATAGGGACTATGACTACATGCTGTCTAAGATAAGGGAAACTAATGGACAATGGGACATGTGTAACCTGGTTTATGTCAAAGTTCCAACATAAAGTGAACCCTGACAGCAGCAAAAGGATACTGTAGGATATATCGATGCTGTAATTCCCTGCTGGGAGTCCATCAGTGAAAAGCTTGTCATGGTATAAAACCCCATAAAGCTTCTTGAAGTTAGGAAAGGCTGCCTCCCTCATCCATACAATCAGGTCATCATTGATGAAGCCATTGTTGGTTGGGTCCAAGGGATCCAGCTCATAAACAGGCTTCTTCCAGTACAGTGGCTTTGCTGTCCCTAAGGAGTAATCACAAACCAGATACAATGAATGACAGCTGAAATACTGCAGTACTGACTAGAAACTGAAACACTGATTATGTGTTGGCTCAAGGTTACCTTCGAACACCTGAGCCAGTGTCAAGTTGTCAATCTGTGGGTTGCGGTACTTGACATTTTTATCGGTGTACCAAGTAATGCCTGTCCGTAACAGAGGAACCTTAACTGGATCACCACTAGATCCATAATAGGTGAGAGTGAAGGAGTCTGGGAGAACAGATGAGAGTTAAGACAGTGAGAGGAACTATGCAGGATGGATAATTGATGATGTGGGTTAGCAGCAGTGTTTACCATTGAAGAAACTGTTGGCCACAGCACCACAGGGGGCGATGGGGAGGCCATTCTGGTCTTTTGCAAATGGCTCGCAGTAAGAACTGGGTTCCTTGTGAAGGGATGTAGTTAAGGGAGAAACAAAGATTATTTAACAATGTAAAATAAGCAGTGGTGGAATGTAACATTTGTACAATCAACTACTATATTTGGGCACAAATTTTAGAGTACTTTTTCTTGAGTATTTGAATTTTAAGCTACTTTATACTTTACCACGTTCCAGACGGAAATTGTGTACTTTTTACTCCACTAAATTTAGTTGTAACTTTTAAAAGAGTACATCATGAGAATTCTGCTTACACAGAAATCAGTCAGTTGGAACTTTACCACGTTCCAGATGGAAATTGTGTAATTTTTACTCCACTAAATTTACAGTTGTAACATTTAAAAGAGTACATCATGAGAAATCTGCTTACACAGAAATCAGTCAGTTGGTTGCATTATTTTTTTATATATTGTGGTACCACTACTTTTACTTGAGTAAATGGTTTGAAAACTTCATCCAACACTGCATCAAAGCCAAACTAAGTAATAGATAAACATTTCTAACAAGCTTCCTATCTGGTGAAGCGGGGTTTGTCGTTACTGACAGTATGCATGATATTCTAACAAAACTATTATGATGAGTTAATTAAAAATACTGCGGTGCTACCTTTAAGTTGCTCTTCCTGCCAACCAGCTGTCCATCATCTCTGGAGTCCATGTATCTGCGGAGATTCTGATGGAAGTTTTGGAGGCCATAGTAGAAAAAGACATCTCCCTGGCACAGCAGCAGGATAAACATCATCATGAGTGTATAAGCAGAAACACTGAGACCTACTAGGCTAAATTCTGTTTTGATTGACTTAAAGCTTTACAGCATGGACAACAAAGGAAAGCACTGGAAATGCGGCACACTGGTTATTGAACGTAAACGTTACGTTTTTTTGCCCTTTGAACAACATAAGTCATTTGACAACTCAAAGTCCACTCATAAGCTTTCTCAGAGCGGTCAAACAGAATTATGTCACTTATAGGTTTCTGGAAAAAAAAAGTTGACCTCAATTTGAGTTTTGTTACATTATGTTGCCAAAGTTCCAGGTTATTTACCTTGAATGGTTTCTCAACAAGAAACACCACTTTGCAGATGCAGCTCTCGGCTGCGCTGCTCACATTTTTACGCTTTTCAAAACATTTATCACACGTCCCAGCCTCTGTGTAGTCCAGCTGGAAAGACAGGAGAGGGTTAAATGTGAATTGTGGGTAAACTGTTCCTGTTTAACTAATTCAAAACATAACCATAGCCTTTCCTCTCTTTGTCACTCCCTTTAATTGCACACAAGGGCATTTGGTCTCTTCCTCCATCTCTCTTACAGGCAAATGTACATGGACTATTTTACATCAATATTTTCATACATCTGAAAAGTATTAAGTAACCAAGTACAGTTTTCAGAAACATACACACTCACCTTTATTTCCTGTGTGCCCTGCACCGTAAGAAGCAGCCATACACCTAGCAGCATACATATCAAAGCCATAAAGTAGAAGAAAGGCAGCACAGTATTAGCTGTTAGCATAGGAGACCAGGCAGGCAGCCTCTGCTGTTTGAAAGCTGAGTTGTCTGGCCTCCGAGCCAAGGGCCCAGGCTTGCGCTTTGCTCTGCCCATGAAAAGGACTTGTGATCTGGAACAGAAGAGGAACTTGCTGCACAAATGAAAAGTCAAACAGTGCGTACGAGAAGGTGCTACTATCTTCTCTTCCTGTTTTTAATTTCACTGTTATCTTCCTGCACAAGAGAGTGCACACACGCAGTTATGCTTGCCTAGGCTTTCCCAGCAGGCCTTGCAGGGTGGGGGAAACCGCTGTGGCCTGTTACTTATTAACCACAACCCCTTGCTTAACCACCTTGATCCGTTTCTGCTACTTCAGTTTTCCTTTGCAAATTTGTTCTGCTGTTCTTTACTGCGTCCTTCCAACAAGACAAGCACAGGTTTCTCTTTATTCACATCAAAATACACAGAGGAGTACATTTTATGCTTTATCAAAGAATGCTGAGATAAATGGGGCTTCCTAGCAGGCAAGTAAACTCATGACCGCACATTCTCAGCAGGAGGGACTTTCCAAGGTCAGAGTAAACACACGGAAGGATGCCGGATTCAGTCTGAGTCTGTTTATTCAATCCATCAATCTATGGGTCATGGTGTTGGACTACAAGAGTGAACAAACAGCACCACTCGTTTGACAAGGAAAATAAAAGCACAGGTTTCATACGAACACAAAAGGGAAAACAAACAGGATGAGGCCCCTCGGCACTGATGCCAACAACATCAGTGTGTGGTTTTAAACATCAAGTCCTCATGCAAATCAGAATCAAGTTTACAACATGCAGTTAAAAAAGTCCAATTTTGATTTTGTTTTCTCTGCAGCCCTTCAGGATACCAATCTCTAGCAGCTTCATCAGGTCCAGTTTGACCTGAAAGACACAGACATATAGTATGTTTAACATGAAGTTACTACTAATCCCCCCCAAACCTAAAGCTCCATTCTGCAAGTCTTAAGGCAAAATATTTTTGTCTACTGTGGTTTTTCCACAAGAAAATTCAATTATATCTACTCATTTTCTCTAATTAAATCATCCAGAATCTAGAAATAGATCTTAATTTTAAAGTTTAAACTGTTAGACGCAAGATGTCTCTCACTAAATAAATAACCTGTAGTCACCCAATAATATATATAACCCATAGTCAGTGCATGTGCACCGGATGGTTTCCTCATTACTCCTCTTGCATATTGGACCATAACTGACTTCCAAACTACTTGCAGTATAACAAGATATACAGTTTATCTAACAATTGTTTTCACCATCAATTATTTATTTGATCACACTTTCCTATAGCACAAGGCGACATCTTCCCACTGCTTAGTTTGTCCGACCATCAACCCAAAACCCCCAGATATCAAGTTTACTATCACACAGAACAAAGAAAAGTGGCAAATCCTCACAATTCCAAAGCTGGATTTAGGAAAGATTTGGTTTGATTATCAAAAAAAAAAAAAGATAGCTACTGATTCAGTTTCTGTCAGTCAACTAATTAATCAGTTAATCACTTCAGTTTGACCTCAGGTGCCTTCAGTAGACGATGTGAAACAAACTGAGTACACAGCACATCATTCTGCACAGTAAATGTCAATGAAGTAACAGAAATAAAAACACTTATAAAAACACGTTTTAGGCACAGGATGACTTTAAATATCTTTAAATTCTACCAAATACAGAATAAAGTTATGCAGTGTGATTAGTCAAAACAAGTCCAGCAGGGGGCAGCAGCTCACCTCAGGAATGTCAACCATCCTTCTGAGCTTCTGGTCCCTCCAGTTCCAGTCCAGAACCAGGTATCTCAATGCCTGCAAGTTCAAACCCTCTAGGACGAAGTATCAAAGTTTCCACAGATTAGGAAGGCTTTAAAAACTTGAAGGTCAAAACAGTGGGACCACTGTGTTCACACCTACCTTTCTCAAGAAGAGCATGGATCCTGCCAGGTGTCCCCACTCCAATGTGTGTGACACCTTTCTGCAGCAGCTTCACCTGTTCCTCTATCTGTACCGTCAAAAAGCACACAAAGTAAAACTAGTCACTGCACACAATCCACATGGTTCATAATGAGCAACTATCACCACTAATACCTTGATATGTTTTGCAAAAAGCTTCACTGCTTTGGCTTCACCCTTGAAGGTGGTCAGCTGCCTGGGAATAATAAAAAACAAACAGCACTGGTGTAAATTTAATTAAGAAGGTGTGATGTATGAGATTCAACAAACATCACTGGTGTGTCACATACTTGATGAGCTCGATGGCACGGAGAGCGGAGCTACAGATGATGAGCAGAACCACCGAACTCTTCTCTGTGTGCTGCTTTTGAATCTTTGCCCATTTGGGACAAACTATGAGCAACAGGAAAAAGAAGAGACAAAAGAGTCACTTCTGTGTTTAGAAGTAACAGGTGATAAAAGATTAATCCAAACAAAGTTCAAAAATAGCTCTCACTTTGTTTGAGATAAGAGGAGAGGCTGTGTGTCAAGTCATTACTGGACAGGAAGCAGGAGCCTGGAAGACGCAGGTGGGCAGACAATGATCTTGGTCAATCAACAGATCAGCAGATATTGACTGAACCCTCCAGTTAAAGGGGACTTGCCCTGGCTCACCCTGCAATTCGAGCTCCTCCTGCTCTATCACAGAGCGCTTGTCTGAAAAGTACTGTGTAACCAGGTTCTGCAGGTCAACTGGAGAGCCTGGCTTTGGCTCGGAGGTGGCTAAAACATCTGTAATCGTCTTCTTCTTCTGGAATACAAAATATATTGATGTAATATTCACACACAAAGCCCATTGACTGCCAGTGTCTTGAACAAGAGTCTTGCAACAATTGTTGATGGCCTTTGCAACAGCAGGTGTCGCCACACTCACCTTCCTCTTCTTCTTGGGATTAGTTGACTCTTCAGCCTCAGCCTCTTTCTTTTGAGGAACTACACACAATTTCTATGAAAACAGTAGATACAGAACACAAAACAGGCAAAGTACTTATACAAGATTAATACAGAAGGCATTTTTTGAATGAATTTTAAATTATGAATTCAATCAAGACATGAATCCTGAATAACTGGATCAAAGTACTGTTCCATAGATGACCTATATAGGAAGTATTTCACATCTCTTTAGTCATTTAACATATCATATTATTAATCCATCAAGACACCACTCCAAATGTTTTGCAACAAAAACAAGTCCAGTGCATGACAACTTATTATTTCACTGCTGAACTTTTTCACACTCTTAATTTGCCAAATTTTCTGATCTTTATTCTATTTAACAGCATAACACCCAGACAATGTCACTAGTGGTTGGACAAAAACGTTTCTAAACAAACGCACTGTTGGCATACCACAGAACTGTTTTACAAACCTGTATTAATTACATTACCCATCAATCATTACCCAATCTGTTATGGATTATGGGGATGTTCTGAATTAACATGCTACTGGTTCCACCTTGAAGGTATTAGATTCTATCTACCATTTTGCTATTAGATTTATTACTGGAGAAAATTATAACACGCATCATTGCATTCTTTATAATAAAGCTGATTGGCCCTCCTTGTGTGACAGACATCAGAAACATTGGTACATATTTATTTACAAGGCCATCAGTGGAAAACTGCTGTCTTATATTTCATCCCTTCTGCATTGGCATAATGGCCCTTGAACTCACTCTTGTAATTATTTGACACTTCAGGTACCTAGGGCCAGAACTGAGTCAGGAAAGACTGCATTTGCTGTCAATGCTGCAGTCTCACTCAATAATTTGGAACATCAGTTAAAAATAAGAGCACACACACACACCTCTCTGTAATTTCAAGATAATTCTCAACAAACATTTTCTTCTTGTCATTGCTTTTATTGATGCTTTTTTGTTTTTTCATATATATGTATAGCATATATGTTCAACCTACCCTCTATAAATATTTGTTTAAATCTCAAAAAGATAATTGTTTTACTAAATATGACCTAATATGAATGTTCAACAATGGCACCAGCTTCCACTGCAGCGCCTGTTGTGGAGAACACATCAACAAACAATGAAAACCTGTTGTAGAAGCAGCTGTGACAGAAACTACATAACATTAAAATACCTGTGCATTCTTTTTCTTGGTTTTAACTGCTTTCTCTGTTGTTATCCTCTTCCTCTTCTCCGGTCTTGTCTTTGTGTTTGCTTTTGCTCTCGGTTGTTTCTGTTGTTCCACTTCCTCCTCCACCTCAGACGTATCTGGAAAAAACAAAGGGAGAGGTTTTGCTACTAATAAAAATGCCAAACCACCATTCTATCTCAGAAATAGACAAACATCTTAAGACTTACAGGCCCACGGAGTTAGAATCTGTTTCCGTAGTTTGGGCTCTGAATCAGAGCTTTGGCATTTGTACATCATGTCTCAAACTGTTTCTCCGATGCACATTTCAGTCACCACAACAGCAGAAACACAACTATTACCTGAAATAATAGCAATGCAGCAGACCTCAAACCAAGCATCTGGTTATATTTAGCTGCCCTGTTGTAACTGCTTGTCAGTGCATACTTCTTGTCTTCAGCTATGAGGTCACACTTTGGTATATATGAATGCTTGTTTGAAATACTACAGCTTTAAAAACAGATGTCAGAATGAACTTTGTAATGAATCTGCAGGTTTTATTGCAGTGTCCTTCCTACAGTAGATGTGCACTCTTAAAATGCTGGTATTTTACCTTATAGTCCTTCCTTTGGGACCTTCAATAGCAGACAGGCTGAAATTTTCTCTAAATTCACCACAAGCATCCATAAGAGCCAGAGTTTGAACGTGGCGATGTCTAACTGGAACATCTATCTGACTTAAGAGAAAAACACTTGTGTAGCTCCATGGATCAATATTTCAAGCATGTCACACTTTTTGCCAAATCCATATCAGGAGCATCAAAACAGACAGTAATACCATAACTGCTAATGAAAATCAAGTGTAGTGACATCAGTGTTGGGGTGTGAGGCCAAAGAAAAGTACAGCAACACTTTTCAGGGTTGGCAGTTACATCCAGTATTATGAATTAATAATAATACAATCAATTCAGCTCATTAAAAAGCTATAAATTTGTATTGACTTTTACTTGTTACTACACATTAGGCTAAACAAACAAGTCTAATGGTAGGGTAACCACGCATTAACACTTGCAAGTTTTCCTATTCTGCTGACTCAAACCAATGACCTTTTTGAAGTTATTAAGCCAGAGAGAGCAGTGCACAGCAGCTCTCTGTGATTGCCCACAGTGGGCTGCTCCTCCAGGACAAGAGCACTCCCAAAAGGCCACCACACACTGACTAACACCTGACTCCAGATTTTGTGACTTATTCTCTAATCTTACATCTCACAATCCATTCATCCAATCTTTATTATCACACCCTCCCCACTGTTGTGTTTTCTTCCTTGAGGCCATGACAGTCAAGGATGATACAAAAGAAAAGAATCTGAAAGATGGATGCTCTCTCTGTTTCCCTCAGAGGTCTTTTTCTTTCTGTCATTCCATAGACACACCCATTTTCCATTTCATCCCTCACTCCAGGACCTTCAGCCTTATTTGTTACAGTCATCCATCCAGGTTTACACTCCTTCGGCTGAAATACCAGCCCTAATATTGATGGGCCAAGCCAACCACACACCACTCTCGCTTTCCCCTGCTCTTCACCCCTGTCTTACTGTCACTCTTGACTGTTGGAAGAAAAGGATGCACAGGTGCCACAGACCAAAGACAAAAGGACAGAAGAAAGACAAGACAGTGCCCTGCACCAGGTAGGTGGTTTTCCCCCTGTAACTGAGCACCGATATTGGCCATTTATATCTGGATTGTTTTGTTTCCTGATTAAAAAGGTGCTTGAGAACAGCATGCTACTAATCTGTAAGTACTGAAGCATAAAAAAAAAAGTACCCAATCAGTAAATATTTTTCAATAATTGTTCCTAAGTTGTATAAATAGCTTAATTTAGTTTTGATCACCAAGGTCAAATGTTTAACTTGCAAGAACAAATCTTACAATTAGCTTTGCTCACTAATGTGCACCGTCTACAGGCACAATTTATGTGATTAAATTGACAACACAAAATGCAATCACCTAATGTTGCCACGCTGTGTTCAATGAGCTGTGAAATACATCAAGCCTAAGACATTAACCAAACCCTCAGATGACTAGAAGGTAGTGACAGAGCAGCCAGGCTGATATTAGGCTTAAAACACATTTCTGATCTCACCAATGCCACAAACACCATGCAAACACACTGGTCAAGGAACCACTGAGCAACATTGGTGATAAGGTGCTGATTAAGCACATACTGTATTTGCTTTGCTATAGTTAAGGAGCAGGGTTTAGCTACTGAGTAAATACTCATGTAACACAAGTACTATTTCAATAAGTAATTTCCAGTGCGTGACTACAGTTTAAGCAACTTGCTTGAGGTTAGATTGCTTGGCAAATGTAAAAATTCTAGTAATCTAAAACAAAGCACTAAATAGTAGTATTCATGACTATCAGGGACTCTACCTTCTTGGTTCAAGAATGGCTAACGAAAAAAACCAACAGGAATGAAATTATGGTAAATGAACAGTGGCTGTCATAAAGATGACAGAGACTAATTCACTGCTTACCAGACAGTCCACAATGTTGGCTAAAGGGAGCAGATGTTGATCTACAGTATGAGAAAGTCAATGCTTCGAGTGTCCACTAACCCTTACTCCCAACATCCTCCTTGCCACTGTCGCTCCAGATGGTGGAGACTGGATAGGAGGAAAAGTGCAAGCTTTCAGACTATGATCCTACAGCTCAGATAACCATAGATCAATAAAACATGGAAGGAAAAGGGGCTGCCTGGTCATTGTTAATGGCTGATCAATAGAAGTGACTGGTTTTAATGGAAAATGGACAACAGTGACTGGATACAATGAGAATCGACTGACTGGTTCCAGGAAACAGTTGGCTGTTTCACATTCAGACAGGCCACTCAAACTTTGTTGCTAGTTTTTACCAGTGATGTGCTCACTTTTACAAACTGGCGCCATGCCTACACAGCTGCTTAAAACTGTTGGGCATGACTTCAGAAAAGCTCTTAATCACGGCGTCAGTCTGTTCTATTAGTCTGATTAAAGATACCACTTTGGCCTGTACCCAGGGATAACACAAAGCAGTTACACCTTTTATCCTCCTGCAACCTCAGCATGTCCCATTACACACAGGCACCCAGACCCCCCGAGATACTGGGTGACCTTTTCTTGTTATATTGGCGCTTCTATAATAATATGATACTTTCAGTGAAACACAGTGCTTGTTTCAACAATCAATAACTCATCTCATGACATGCACTACTGCCTGACCTTGGGAGTGGTGGAGAGTGGGTGTAGCAGTTACTGGTTTTGGAGGCCTGTACTTTCCTTTCTAAAGCTACAATTTGAGCATGTGTTATTATTAAATCAGTGGGTAGTTTAGACTGCACACTCAAAATTTGCAAGCAGGCTATAATGGAATCGTGGTCTCTAGCTGTTTCACCCATGAATACAAAGTAATTTCTAGCAATAATTTGTTGCCCCGTTGGTTGTTGCAACACTAATCCAAGGACTTAATAGTGAAACCTTTTAAACAGTCAAACTGAAGACAAACTCAGATGTGATGAAATCTGGATAAGTATGAATCAACTGCGCGTCCTGCACACTCGTTATATGGTTTGTTATATCACAGAAAGAAACAGCTAAACACATACACACACACACAAAATCAGATGTTTAACATTTATTCACATGGAAGAGGTGATCAACAGTAAGCAGGCTTTGGTTCTGAGCCAGGCAGTTTTAGTGGACACAATTTCACCTACGCAAAGCCAAGTTTGATGTTTAAGGACAGTGCAGACTCTGGTCACTATCTATTTCACCGTCAACTGTTTTATTTGACTGCAAGTCTTGGCTATATAGTAAAAAGGGATCTCAAATGTGTGTATCTCTATCCAAAGTTTGCTGGATATGTAATGTGTGCGAGCATTATGTCTAAGCTGATACTCATGTCTATTACAGTTGGTGTCCGATTTATTAAACCATTTCTGATCTATGACCTCTAATGTTTGGCTCTGAAGAAGTCAGTCTCCTAAGTGTGATCAGTTATTTAAAAAACAAACAAACAAAAATCCTTAAAGTGCATTGTGTCAGTGGCAGCCTTTGATTCCTAGTCTGTTGATCGACTGGTATAATCCTCCAGTTTATACTGGGACACTGACATCCATGTGTTTGAGTCAAGCCAATCCTGTCTGGCTGAGTGTGATGAGATCTCCTGATGATGTTGCACTGGAGCTGCTAACCAAGATACAAAGTTATGTAAATAACCCAAAGCAGTTAAGCTTTCACAAAGACCAAACAAGAAAGCCATTTTCTATTCTTGATGACACAATGCAAATTAATGTGGGTATTGATATTTGCTAAAACTAATTTAGGCTGATAAACTCTAGTTTAAACAGTTAGGCTTTTGGTGCTATGGGTCTGCCATTAACATTAGAGCTCTATTCCTTTCTTGTGCTCTCCTAAATCGCTCACTGGCAGGTTTCACATTGATATTAGTAACTCTGCTCTTGACCTCCTTATCAATCTCCAGTGCAAGACTGATGAAATACACATGGAAGCTAGTGTAGCACGGTTTAAATGTGCTTGCGTGAAACATGCATGTCTGTGTACAAGCACACGAGCCGTAGTACACAAAGTCACTGGTAAATGAGCAACCTTTCTGCCAAAAATGTCTTGCTGAACAAAATGACTCAGAGAGGATCCAGTTTACATCAGAGCACAACAATGTAGAATGTATTTCTTTGCACCACTGACCACCAAATGGTTGTTGCTTTGCTTTCCACTACTATGGTTACTATTTGACTACATAATTACTATTATGTAGCAAAGATCATCTACAAGAATTAAGCCATACAAGCAAATAACCAAATACAGAGATTTGGACAGAAGCTCATCTAAACAAATTAAATAACCATGATAAAACTGTAGTATTATATGATTTAGGGATGAACCAGTCTGACTTTTCTCTCCCAGTTCAGATTCTAAACTTTCCACAAAGTCAAAACTGAGTAAAGATGGCAAATCTGCTCTAAACTATGGTAAATTCCCTGAAATTGAAAATTCAACATTCAATAAGTGAACACTTTAAACACAGCAGAGTGTCACTTTGGAGGATGATCATAGCACTTGTAGAATTGGTGGATGATTGTGA